TGAGCCCTGCCACATTCACAATGGAGGACCTCCTTGCGGCAACACCAGAGGCACTCCAAGTGGCCAGATACTGGTCAAAGGACATTTAATCAACTACCAAGCTTGCAAACTCTGTGTCTTTTGTATGTTTGTTTGTCTATTCTATCAAAAATGTAATACAACTGTTCGGTTGCCTGACACGATAAATAAAATAGTTCACCTACAATCAAAGAGCATTCTGAACCCCACCAACAATGGAATTGAACCAAACTTGGCACACAGTTCTCCCATGACCAACAGAAAATAGTGGAAGGGTTTGGTGGGCAGTGTCCTTTGGTTTTGGAGTTGTAGTTCACCTACATCCAAAGATCTCCATGGACTCAAACAATGATGGATCTGGACCAAACTACAAGAATACTCAATATGCCCAAATGTGAACACTGGTGGAGTTTGGGGGAAATAAAATCTTAATATTTGGGAGTTGTAGTTGCTGGGATTTATAATTCACCTACTGTCATAGAGCATTCTGATCCCCACCAACGATAGAATTGGGCCAAACCTCCCACAGAGAACCCCCATGTGGGCCACAGCAACACATGGCAGGGGACGGCTAGTCACTCATAAAAACACTGAAAAACACAGCGGAAGGCACTTTAAAAGCCAAAAAATAAAAAAATACACTACAACGCATGTGCATAACCACATATATACACATACACACAAATATATACACACACACATGCACACATATATACACACTCAAAACACATATACACAGACTGGGCCACAGAAACGCATGGCAGGGGACGGCTAGTCTATATAAATAAAAATGTAATGTTCGTTTGTGGGTTTAACATAACTCAAAAACCACTGGACAAATTGACACCAAATTTGGACACAATACACCTAACAACCCAATGTATGTCCTTCACTCAAAAAATTGATTTTGTCATTTGGGAGTTGTAGTTGCTGAGATTTATAGTTCACTTACAATCAAAGAACATTCTGAACTCCACCAATTATGGAACTGAACCAAATGTGACATACAGGACTCCCATGACCAACAGAAAACACTAGAAGGGTTTGGTGGGCATTGACCTTGAGTTTGGGAGTTGTAGTTTCACCTACATCCAGAGAGTACTGTGGACTCAAACAATGATGGATCTGGACCAAACTTGGCACAAATATTCCATATGCCCAAATATGAACAGAGATGGAGTTTGGGGGAAATAGACCTTGACATTTGGGATTTATAGTTACTGGGATTTATAGTTCACCTACTATCAAAGAGCATTCTGAACCCCACAAATGACAGAATTGGGGCAAATTTCCCACACAGAACCCCCATGACCAATAGAAAATACCAATACCCATCCAGTCCAAATCTCTTCACCAGGGCAAGAAAATGTAATCAAAGCCCTCCAGACAAAGACCAATCCAGGCATAAATATAGATAGATAGATATGATTCACACACAGAGAGATATAATATCATAGATTTGAAAGGGACCCTAAAGAAGGACAATTATATGTTGTATATTCCAGAGTAGGCAAACCAGACGGCAACATCAACCACATCAACACTGACAAAGAAACAAGAAGAAATGCTGCTCACCCACAAGCATAAAGAAATTACATATATTAGAAACCAACACTTTCTCGTTACTTTATTTTCCAGACTGGGCCACAGCAAGGTGTGGCAGGGGACGGCTAGTGTATGTATGAGTGTGAGTGTGTGTGCATCCAGTCCAACATATATATGTGTGTGTGTGTGTGTGTGTGTGTGACATTTCTATCCCACCTTTCTCACCCCAAAGGGGACTTGGCGCAGCTTACATAACTGGCATTATTCCACAACTCTCTACTAGACATGTGCAAAATAATCGGAAGTTTTGGAAATCGGAAAAAAATCGGAAGCCAGATCCAAAGCATTTGCGTGGACCACACCAAATCTATATATATATAAATGCTCTGTGCGTAATGAGTACCTTAAAAACAAAAGAACCACTGGACGAATTGGCACCGAATTTGGCAACAAAACGTCTCACAACACAAGGAGTGACCATCACTCAAAAAATTATGATTTTGTCACTTGGGAGTTGTAGTTGCTGGGATTTATAGTTCACCTATAATCAAAGAGCATTCTGAACTCCGCCAACAATGGAATTGAACCAAACTTGGCACACAGGCCTCCCATGACCAACAGAAAATACTAGCAGCGTTTGGTGGGCATTGACCTTGAGTTTGGGAGTTGTAGTTCACCTACATCCAGGGAGCACTGTGGACTCAAACAATGATGGATCTGGACCAAACTTGGCATGAATATTCCATATGACCAAATATGAACACAGATGGAATTTGGGGGAAATAGACCTTGGCCTTTGGGAGTTGTAGTTACTGGGATTTATAGTTCACTTACAATCAAAGACTATTCTGAATGAACCCCACGAATGACAGAACTGGGGCAAACTTCCCACACAGAACTCCTATGACCAACAGAAAATACTTAAGGCCATCCAGTCCAACTCCTTTCACCAGAGCAAGAAAACGTAATCAAAGCCCTCCTTACAGAGAGCCATCTAGCCATAGATATAGATAGATAGATATGATTCAAACACAGAGAGATAAAGTATTATAGATTTGAAAGGGACCCTTAAAGAAGGACAACGATATGTTGAATGTTCCAGAGTAGGCAAACCAGACACTCTCCACGTTAACACTGGCAAAGAAACATCAAGAAATACTGTTTACCCACAAGCAGAAAGACATTACATATATTAGAAACCAGCACTTTCTAATTACTTTATTTTCCATATCACCAGACTGGGCCACAGCAACGCATGGCAGCGAACAGCTAGTGTTTTAGAATTGGAACTCATCCCATACTTTTTCATTTTAGTTTTGTAAATCATAGAATTCTAGAGTTGGAAGAGAACTGGTGGGCCATCCAGTCCAACCCTATTCTGCCAAGAAGCATTCAGAGCACACCCGACAGATGGCCATCCAGCCTCTGCTTCAAAGCCTCCAAAGAAGGAGTCTCCACCACACTTCAGGGCAGAGAGTTCCACTGCTGAACATACTAGAGAGATTTGGAGAGAATTCACCTTGGTTTATAAGACTTGTAGGCACTGGGATATATAGTTCACCTGCAATCCAAGAGCATTCTGAACTCCACCAATGATGGACCTGGAACTCACTTGGCACACAGAACCCCCATGACCAAGAAAACATACTGGAGGTCTTTGGAGGGACTTATAGGAGTTGTAGTTCACCTACATCCAGAGCACACTATGAGCCCAAACAATGATGGATCTGGAGCAAACTTGACATGCATTCCCAATATGCCCCAATTTGAATACTGGTGGGTTTTGAGGGGAATTGGCCTGGACATTTTCAGTTGTAGGTACTGGGATTTATAGTTCACCTGCACTCAAGGAGCATTTTGAACTCCACCAAAGATGGAATTGGACCACACTTGGCACACAGAGCACCCACAACCGACAAAAAATACTGGAGGTCTTTAGGGAAAATTCACCTTGATTTGGGGGAAGTTGTAGTTCACCTACACCCGGAGCATACTGTGAACCCAAACACCGATGAACCTGGACCAAATTTGGCACACATACCGTATATGCCTAAATTTGATTACTGGAGGGGTTTGGGGGGGAACTGACCTTCCTTCCTGGGAATTGTAGTTCACCCATAACCAGAGAAACAGTATCCTCCATCGATGATGGACCTGGACTACACTTGGTACCCAGAATCCCCATAACTAACTCAACCTATTGGAGGGGGTTGGGGGAACCATAGTGGGAGTTGTAGTTTACCCTGCAGCCAGAGAGAACACTGAACCCCATCTGGTGATGCATCTAGAGCAAACCTGCCCAACATAAACTTTAAGTAGCGATGGAGTTTCAGGGGGTGAACCTGGCATGATGGGAGTTGTAGTTCACCCACAACCTTATGCATTTTGGACAATTAAAATTTTACTTTTTGAAATAACCCAGGCAACGTTGGGGACTCAAGCTAGTATGCATGTGTGCGTATATACATACATATACATACATGTATATACATATGTATATGTGGGTATGTGGCAGCTTTCTGATTGGCTGCCACGACCCCACGAATAACAGACCTGGACCAAACTTGGCACACATAACCCCCATGACCCACTTTATGTCCTGGTGCCGTTTGGGGGAGAATGGACCACAAATGATGGGATTTGCAAAACTTTCAATTGCTTCAGCTCCCACAGACCACTGCAATGCCCACCAATGACGGAACTGGACCAAACCTGGCACACAGAACCCCAATTACCCACTTGACATCCTGTTGTGGTTTGGGGGAGGATGGGCCATGGATGATGGGACTTGCAGTACCTTCACTCACTCACTCACATTGGGACCAGCATGAATGACGAACCTGGACCAAACTTGACACACATAACCCCCATGAACCACCTCACACCCTGGTGACGTTTGGGGAAGGATGGACCATGGACGATGGGATTTGGAATACTTTCACCCAACTCACTTGCCACAGAACACTGCGGCCCCCACAAACCACAGACCAGGACCAAACTTGGCACACAGACCCCTCATGACCCACTTTACATCCTGCTGTGGTTTGCACAAAAGCAGACCATGGATGATGGGACTTGCAGTACCTTCACTAACTTCCTGAGACCACTGCGAGCCACATAAATAACTGATAAAGACCAACCTTGCCACACAATGTCTTTCTCAAATAACCCGGGGACCACCGGTTCCCCAAGATAGTATATATATAATTTTCACTACCAGCTTCAGCTGAGAACCTCTTAAGAAAAGAACAAAAGACAATACACATGGTGTCATTTCCGTAGATTCAAATATTGCTTTCTTGGACTAATATTCCTTGAATCCTTTCGCTATCTTTGCTGTGGCTTTGGAAAGCTCGAGTCTAAGGAAGTCTTGCTTCCAGGTTCTGATCCTTCTTTAGCAGAATGGAACACCGAGAATAAGCATCATTTGGATTTACCTTATTGGACCATTTATAGGCCTGAAGCAGTTGACTGTACAGTGGGGTCTTGTCCTGGACAGGGTCTAAGCTCAGCAGTCCGCTGTTGTGAAGAGGATGGTTCTCTGATGGTTTGCCTACGAGGTTGCTAAGACGTTCCAGTTCACTAAAACCAAAAGGAAGAATGCGGTTAGAGAGCGTCACTTAAATAAATACCCTCTTTGACAGTATAATAATAATAATAATAATAATAATAATAATAATCCTTTATTTATACTCCGCTAACATCTCCCGAAGGACTTGGTGCGGCTTACAAGAGGCCGAGGCCAAATACATCAGCAAAACAACAACATAACAAATACAACAACAAACTCATAAAACAAAGCAATAAACATTAAACGATAGCAATAAACATTACACAATAACACCACGACGCAATTAAAAACTATGGCCAGGCCAAATGTAATAATTAAAAATTTTAAAAATGCTGGACATGACCAGGTGAAATGGATGATTTTGGCAATAGGTGCAGTGTGCAGACAATCTTAAATCTCTGGTAAAGTGCATTGGGACATGATGCTTGGAGTTTCCTATTCTGGGAAGGCACACTGGAACAACCAAGTCTTCAAGGTCTTCCTAAAGACTGCCAACGTTGGGGCTTGTCTGATGTCCGTGGGGAGAGTTCCAGAGTCGAGGGGCCACCACCGAGAAGGCCCTGTCCCTCGTCCCTACCAATCGTGCTTGTGACGCAGGTGGGATCATGAGCAGGGCCTCTCCGGATGATCGAAGAGTTTGTGTGGGTTCGTATGCAGAGATGCGGTCATGCAGGAAGGCAGGTCCCAAACCGTTTAGGGCTTTGTAGGTAAGCACCTGCACCTCTCCCTGTAAGGAACACCAGTTAACAACCTGGCCGCCGCCCAGATGGAATTTCCGGGCCGTTTTCATGGGCAGCCCCATGTAGAGTGCATTACAGTAGTCCAATCTGGAGATGACTAAGGCAGTGGTTCTCAACCTTCCTAATGGCATGACCCCTTAATACAGTCCCCCATGTTGTGGTGACCCCCAACCATAATATTGTTTTCATTGCTACTTCATAACAGTCATTTTACTACTGTTATAAATCATAATGTAAATATCTGACATGCATGATGCATTTTCATTCACTGGACCAAACTGGGCACAAATACCCAATACACCCAAATGTGGATGCTAGTGGGGTTGGGCGAGGATTGATTTTGTAATTTGGGAGTTGTAGTTGCTAGGATTTATAGTTCACTTATAATCAAAGAGCATTCCGAACTCCACCAGCGATGGATTTGAACCAAACTTGGCTCCCATGACCAATGGAAAACATTGGAAGGGTTTGATGGGCATTGACCTTGAGTTTGTGAGTTGTAGTTCACCTATATCCAGAGAGCACTGTGGACTCATGTAATGGTGGATCTGGACCAAACTTGGCATGAATACTCAATATGCCCAAATAGATCTTGACATTTGGGAGTAGTACTTGCTGGGATTTATAGTTCATTACAATCAAAGAACATTCTGAACTCCACCAACAATAGAATTGGCTCAAACTTCCCACATGGAATCCCCATGTCCATCAGAAAATACTGTGTTTTCTTATGGTCTTTGGCGACCCCTCTGACACCCCCTCGCGACCCCCTCAGGGGTCCCAACCCCCAGGTTGAGAAACACTGGACTAAGGCATGGACCTCCCTGGCCAGATCCACCTTCACGAGGTACGGTCGCAGTTGGCGAACAAGTCTTAATTGTGCAAAGGCCCTCCTGGCCACCACCGATGCCTGAGCCTCAAGCGTAAGTGATGAGTCCAGGAGGACACCCAAACTGCGAACCTGTGACTTCAGGGGGAGTGTAACCCCGTCCAGCACAGATTGCCACTCTATACCCCAATCCGGTTTACGATCGACCAGAAGGACCTCTGTCTTGTCAGGATTAATCTTCAGCTTGTTCATCCTCATCCAGACAGCCACAGCGGCCAGGCACTCGTCCAGCACATGAGGGGCTTCCTTGGAATTAGGTGGAAAGGAGTAGTAGAGTTGTGTGTCATCTGCATAGATATGGCACCCAACTCCAAAACTCTGGATGACCTCTCCCAGCGGTTTCATGTAGATGTTGAAAAGCATGAGAGACAGTATTATTTTCCCTAGCAATAGTCTAACACTTAGAACACACCGTAAAAGTGGCTCTACTCTAGTCATGAAGACAAAATGTCAGCTGTCCTTTAAAAGTGGTTCTCAGAGGTCCCAGAATGAGATATCTTGGATACGGGATCCAAGTCTAAATGCAAGATTCATAGACACCTTATACACATCGTCTGCAGGTCATTTTATCCACCCTATTTTAAACAATTTAGGGCAGGGGTCCTCAAACTAAGGCCTGGGGGCCAGATATGGCCCTCTATGGTCATTTACGGCCCTTGCTCAGGGTCAACGTAAGTCTGAAACAACTTGAAAGCTCACAACAACAACAACAACAATCTATCTCATCAGCCAAAAGCAGCCCTAGAACTCCCATTGAAATACTAGTAAGGTTATATTGATTAAAATTGTTCTTCATTTGAATTATTGTATTGTTTTTGTGTGTTTTTGCACTACAAATAAGATATGTGCAATGTGCATAGGAATTCATTTTTTTTTCAAATTATAATCTGGCCCCCCAACAGCTTGACGGACTGTGACCAGGACCTCTGATTAAAAAGTTTGTGGACCCCTGATTTAGGGTATGATGCAAAGTTTGTGTGCATTGAACCCTCAAGGAAAGCCAATTCATTGATGTTCCAGGCAAAAGGTCACTTTAGTAACTGTGTGGATGAAGCAAGGTGTGCGTCCATCAAAAATAAAACATGTCCCTGAATATACATGTATTGATAGATTATTAGATTATTTTATTTACTGAATATACTAGAGTATAAACCTAGTTTTCAGTGCCTTTTTTAGGCTGAAAAAGCTCCTTTCGGCTTATACTCGAGTCAAAGTTGTTTCTTATTTTTCTCTATTTCATTTTTATTACATTTATTATTTTTCTATATTTATTATTATTACATTTATGTTATTTTACACTATTATGATTTTATTACATTTATTATTTTACTCTATTTATTACTAGTAGGAGTACATTTATTATTTTACTTTATTATTTATTTATTTACTATATTTGTATACCCCTTTCTCAGCCCCTGGGCGACTTTATTATTATTGTTATTATTACATTTATTATTTTACTCTATTATTATTACATTTATTATTTTACACTATTTATTATTATTATTATTATTATTATTATTATTAATTTTATTTTTTTGTCGTGTCAGGAGCGACTTGAGAAACTGCAAGTCGCTTCTGTTGTGAGAGAATTGGCCGTCTGCAAGGACGTTGCCCAGGGGACGCCCAGATGATTTGATGTTTTATCATCCTTGAGGGAGGCTTCTCTCATGTCCCCGCATGAGGAGCTGGATCTGATAGAGGGAGCTCATCTGCCTTTCCCCGGATTCGAACCTGCGACCTGTCGGTCTTCAGTCCTGCCGGCACTGGGGTTTAACCTACTGCGCCACCGGGGGCTCCATTATTATTATTACATTTATTATTTTACTCTCTTTATTATTATTGGAAGGATACGTAAGCGTATTTACATGGAAGAAGGTCAGAATGATGATTGAATCAGAGTTGGACAGTCTTATTTTACATTACACTTTTACGTAGATTCAAAAACTTTTAACCTACTGATACCTCAATTACTGTAATATTATTGGTATCTATTTTTATTTTGAAATTTACCATTCGCTGCTATATTTCCCACCTTCGGTTTATATTCGAGTCAATACATTTCCCCAGTTTTTTGTGGCAAAATTCGGTGCCTCGGCTTATATTCGGGTCGGCTTATACTAGAGTAAATACGGCATTTATTTATATCCCGCTTTATCCCGCTGTTGTTCCTCGAGTCCAGCTAGAAACTCCTTTCTTTCCTGTAGTTTGAAGCCATGGCTCCATTGTGTCCTTGTCCCCAGGGCAGAAGGAAACAAGATTGCTCCCTCCTTCTCCCTAGAACTTCCCCAGGGAACTGGACAGGGGGAGTGTGACCCTGCTGGTTCTCTTGGACATCTCTGCGGCTTTTGATACCATCGACCATGGTATCCTTCTGGGGAGGCTCGCTGGGATGGGTCTTGGGAGCACGGTTCTTCTGTGGCTCTGGTCCTTCCTGGAGGGTCGTTCCCAGTCGGTGAAGCTGGGGGACTCCTGCTCGGACCCCTGGCCTTTTACCTGTGCGGTCCTGCAAGGATCCATTCTGTCCCCCATGCTTTTTAACATCTACATGAAACCGCTGGGGGAGGTCATCCAGAGTTTTGGAGTATGGTGCCATCTCTACGAAGATGACACCCAACTCCATTACTCATTTCCACCAGACTCCAAGAAAGCCTCAAGGATACTGGACCAGTGCCTGGCTGCTGTGACGATTTGGATGAGGAGGAACAAGCTGAGGATCAATCCTGACAAGACAGAGGTCCTCCAGGTCAGTCATCCGTCTGATTGGGTGGCAACCTGTGCTGGACGGGGTTGCACTCCCCCTGAAGTCACAGGTCCGCAGTTTGGGGGTCCCCCTGGACTCAGCGCTGACGCTTGATGCGCAGTTGTTGGCGGTGGCCGGGAGAACCTTCGCACAATTAAAACTCGTGTGCCAACTGCGACCATAACTCGTGAAGTCTGACTTGACCATGGTGGTCCATGCCTTAGTTACCTCTAGACCGGACTATTGCAATGCTCTCTACGTGGGGCTACCCTTGAAGACAGCCCGGAAATTACAACATGTCCAATGGTCGGCAGCCAGATTAATAACTGGCACAACTTACAGGGCGCGGTCAACCCCTCTGTTTAAGGAGCTCCATTGGCTGCCGTTCATTTTCCGGTCCCAATTCAAGTTACAGGTTCTTACCTATAAAGCCCTAAACGTTTTGGGACCTGCCTACCTTCGTGACCACATGACTGCATGGAGCACCGTTACCTTCCCGCCGGAGCGGTACCTATTGTCTACTCACATTTGCATGTTTTCGAACTGCTAGGTTGGCAGAAACCGGGATCAACAGCGGATGCTGGATTCATATCTGCGACCTTTCAGTCAACAAGTTTAGTGGCTCAGTTTAACCCACTG